TGTGAAAGCAATTTCCTTTTGACTGGTATTCCAGTCACCTTTCTTAAATTTTTTTTATTAATATATGCTGCAGGGACCTCATTGACTGAGTTGGCATATTTCTACAGTTTAAAGAATTTTACCTCTTTATTAGCCATAAAATCTGAAAGGGATTCTAATCCACCTCTGCTTTATCCATCCCACTGGATATTGCATGAGATAAAATACCGCATGGCTTCATGAGATAAATACTGCATATATTTCGGAAAAATACCGCATGCGGTATTTCAGAAGCATTTTTTCAGTGAATGTCAAAAAACTTTTTGAAAAATGCTAAGTGGTATTCTACCACATTTCTTAAAGCGTTATGTTACCACATTTCTTAAAGCGTTATCTTACCACATTTTTTAAAGCGATAAATACCACTTTGTGAATGGAGCTCAGTAACTCATAAAGTTTAAGGTTTTATTTTGTGGTTAAATACACTTTCTTTTAAAGCTTTGTGGCAAAAAAAGGTTGTTTTTGTTTCAGGTGTGCTACTCTCCCAAGCTTTCATTTCATTGCAAGTGCAAATACAGTTTGCGCTTAAAAAAACCTCAAGTTACATCACTGACTTTCACTGTACACTACTAAACCCCAGAGTAAAATAAAAGATAGCATACACTTGCTAGGCCAGTTAAAACTGTCCTGCTGTAGGTTTTGCACTACTGTATCCTATACAATATTTTAATTCTAGCAAAACACTTGCGTATGCTATTTGTCACAAGCAAATTTGGCCTAGCTTGGCTCATTAAAACTGTTTCTTCTGCTGGCCAATTTTACACTGCTGCATGTGATCTGCAGTCTTTTAATTATTGTAGTAAAATAAATTCTTGCTTTTTTTTATTCTTTTATCCTTGATTAAACCTGGCCTGATACTGGCCAAATTTAATGTTGCTGTATCCTCTACAGTATCCTATTTTCTTGTAGCAAAACCTTTGCCTGTGATCTTTGTCTCTAGTAAATTTCAGCTTTGCATTACTCATTAAAATTGTCCCACTGTTTTGCCAATTATACACCGATGTATCATCTACAGTCTGTTTATTGTTAAACAGAGTTTTACAGAGATGTTTTTCTCTCATCATAAGAGTAAAAAGTGCAGTGCCAAATTTTTTCCAAATTAGTGTATCTAATTAAAACATATGACAAAAACCAGCGTATGACAAAAAAAACCAAAATTCAAGAACCAGGTGAAAGTAAAATAACCATCCATATAATCAAAACTTCCAGTGAAAAAACTTGAAAGTAAACAGTCCACCGCCACAAAGTGCTCTTGCATTTCCAATAAAGTAAACTGTCACCGTCTCCCTGTGGATTAAACACTCTAAATCTTCCCAAAACTGATGGACTGTCATTACAATAGCATGAACATCCCTGTGTCTTAACAGAAGTTCCATAAATGCACAATAACTGCCAAATGACTGTATTCGCAGGTACCCACTCTAGTGTGAACGGGCATGTGATGAAATTAAAGCTCACAAGGAGCAGATATTCCTCCAATAGCTTGTAGTATTTATTTATAAAATTTGCATAAAACGTGCCAGTACATCAAAGCAATGTTAGCTTACATACATGAACCGTCGTGCCGCCCCGGGAATCGCACAGTGGCAAGATGTCAGCATTGTAAACTCCTATTACTGTGCTGTGACATCATGCTGCTGCACGATTCTGGGTTACGTTCAAGTTTTTCACTGGAAGTTTTTGTACGATTGATGCTGTGCTTTTACTCTTGTGCATATTTATTTAGGTTTGGTATACTATCTATATGGTGCTAGCTGCCTTATATCTTTAGATAAACGCGATATTATTTGCTTTATTATTTTTATATTTTATTTTTTGATGTTTCGCTCTGCCCGGAGGTATCAACCCTGTTGTCATCACACCCGGACCCTGCTCCCTGGAGAGGATACAAGGGAAGAAGGGTGGAGTCAGGAAGATCCCTAATGCCAGACAAATCCTAGCCTAGCCATAGATCCTAGTGTGTAAATAGGATCTGCCAGATGCCCATTGAACAGCTTTACCTAGTAACCATTTTGGTGGAGCACTCACACACCCCTGCTAATTTCCCAGTTGTGTTAAGTGTTCTACATGTTCAACATTACTTAATTTAAAAACATATTCATCCAATTTTACAAGACATTCCGCTATACATAATACTAATAAACAAAAAAATAAACAAACAAGAAAAGAAAAATATTTTTTTTCTACAGAAAGGGTAGTTTGTAGATTTACCTTTTCACAAGGCTGTGATGTCTAGTCCCTTTTGAAATCTTTCTCATTGGAGAGCAGTTCTCCCTTAACTGCAGGTATTGGCTAAAGGTATGCTTCAGACAAGGAAGGCAGGATGTGTGTGCTGCTGACATGAAGAACTGTATAAAAAAAAATGCAGTCAGATTGTTTGCCAATTTGAAAATATAAAAATGAAATTTGATGGCATTCACAGGCCATTTAAATTAAATTTGTTTTGATTTAGGCTAGTTGGAAAAAGGTAAAACCCATCCTGGATGCTTCCCATACCATGAAAATGTCATCTAGACTTCACTGAATAGGTGCTACACCCTACATGGCAGTGTAAATCAGTGGAATCCATCACAAGCAAAGATATTATGTCTTAGAATAAATTCCAACAATGTCAAACTTAACATATTGTAATGTCAATGCACCTGTCCTCTTTCTATTAGAAATTCCTTTCTATCAGAAAATTTCACAATGACCTGTAATCTTACAGAACCTCAATATCTAGAGCCACAAGACAAGCCCGTGTAGGAACATTTTTATACCTTCAGTAAATTGTAATAAGTGGATTTTCTCTTTCATGTATGAGGACAAACCCATACATGGGGACCACCAATTTACATGTATTCTTGGTTAGGTTTCCAATTCTGGCATGTCAGTACAAAGGTTTTTACACAACAAGGTCAAAAAAGCAATACCAATGCATAAACCCTTATCTCACCAATTTACAGCCAACATATAGAACTCATTTGTGGTGTTTTCTGCCCAAAATTTTGATAAACAGTTATATTATTTTTATATATGTGGCATTTATATATAATCAAGAGATGTTTGCCAACACTTGCAGCATTTTTGTACTTACAAAAACAATAATCACAACACCTGTTTATCCACATGCATGAGTGCGTGTCCATATAGCAAAAACCAGAAAGATGCTGAAAAGATCATCAGAGGGAGACAACTATTTTCTTGTTGTACCCAGACTATCAATATATATGCATATATTAATAGATCAATAAAAGCCTAATTTATTATCTTTGCAGTTACTTAAGATATGCATTTGACATAACAACATACGGGAGAGTAGAAGGACACTGACACCCCCACTATTGGATCCAGCTCATAACCTATTTTCCATAGTCCTCTGGTGTTGTCAGGAATGGACTGGCCAGCAATAGTGGGACTCAGCTGCCTTATGAGCTGCAGTACCAGGGGCTGACCAGCGGGTGCTCCCAGCAATCAGAGACTCAACCTTGCAGCCAGTCAAACACCTGGAACTAATTATACTGGTGTATTTAAGGGACATTCAGACCTGCAGACTCTGCCTTGGTGTTGTGTTTCTCTTGGGCCCTGTATCCTGTTCCTGCTCTCTGTTCCTGTCTGATTCTCTGCTGACCCTGCTCTGATCCCTGGCTTGTCTGACCATTCTCCTCTGCCTGACCCTCTGTACCACGCTGCCCGCTACCTGCTGAACCTGGCCTGTGACCCCGACCATTCTCCGCTTGCTCCCCCTGTACCTACCTGCCTGACTGATATTGACCCCGGCCTGCCTGACGACGCTTGCATTGTATGTACTGTTATCTGTGGGGTGGTTGGTTGGTTTGTTTGCACTGTGTTATGTTTTAGTATTGCACTGCGTTTATGTTTGTATGGTTAGTGTGAATAAATTACATTGTTTATAACATATCTGAAGTCTGCATTTCCCTGCGTCAGTCACACACCTCTGGTCAATACCCGGGATCCTGACAGGTGTAATCCTATATATAATAAAGGATTATATAAAAATGTAACAGGTATATACCCAAAGGTGCCCCCACTTTTAGAAAAGGTGTAGAGAGATGCATTTCTGTTTTAGGTGCAGAGGATGTGTAAAAATGTCCGAGCCGTTTTATGGCTAGACAATATTCTATTTGGGTGTTTTGATAAGCAATGTGTGATCTGCAAATATTTAAAACATTCTAAATGTGAAAGGCCAAATTCCCTCAAGATTTACTTGAGGGTGTGTTTTTTATATAGGTCTCCAATAACCATAATACCTTTTATGATACCAAGATTTAACTGAGATATGAGGAACTAGGGCTTCAAGTGTGCTAAGAGGTATAGGGATGTGGTTGCTGTTTAGATGCTCTTTGAATAAAGAATAACAATCCCTCCAAGCCCTAAGAAATACCTGTATCAAAAGGTGAAATGTCTGAAATGGCAATGTTTTAACCCCTTCGCGCTGGCGCCTCCCAGCCCTTTAAGGGTTTCAGAAGCCAGAAGGCGGGGCAGCGTTTAGGGTCATGTGACCGCCTTGACACGCCGTCACAGCAGTCACATGATTGGGAAAGGTCCCGATCGAAAGAGGAGATCGGGACCGTTCTGTGAGTAAGGTACATGTGTGCTGGGAGCGTGCAGGGCGTGTGCTTTCAGCACATATGTTCTTTTTTAATATAATGCAAATGTGCGGCCGCTCGGCTTCAAGGCCCAGAAGCCGGGAGGCCGCACATTTGCATTCGGCTGTTGTGAAGAGGTTAAGGGTGCATTTACATTAGTGTAATTCAACATGAGCATTAACATGCATGGCATGAAGACAACCAATTGGAAATGATAGACAACCAACACACCAAAATGTCCAAAAAATATCATGTCCACAATATTTTTGATCCAAAACCATGCGGTGCTGCCCCTGTATCCCTTGATCACTTACCTTGTCCTGCGCTCCCGCGATGTCCCTCTTGCAGTGTCCCCGGCAATGTAATCCGGCGGATGCCGGCATCTGTCATCTGGGTTCCGTCCCCTGCGAGCGTCGGGACGATCCAATGTCTGACCCAGTGCGAGCGGTCATGCCAGTTGACTCGGAGCCCACTGTCGTGCCTGGTGACTCGGTGCCCGCCGCTTCGCCTGGGGGCCCGAGACCTGTCGCTCCGCCTGGGGGTCCGGCGCCCGCCGCTCCGCCTGGGGGTCCGGCGCCCGCCGCCCCGCCTGGGGGCCTGAGACCTGTCGCTCCGCCTGAGGGCCCGAGACCTGTCGCTCCGCCTGGGGGTCCGGCGCCCGCCGCTCCGCCTGGGGGCCCAATGCCTGTCGCCCCGCCTGGGGGCCCGATGCCTGTCGCCCCGCCTGGGGGCCCGATGCCTGTCGCCCCGCCTGGGGGCCCGATGCCTGTCGCCCCGCCTGGGGGCCCGATGCCTGTCGCCCCTCCTGGGGGCCCGGCGCCCGCCGCTCCGCCTGGGGGCCCAATGCCTGTCGCCCCGCCTGGGGCCCGATGCCTGTCGCCCCGCCTGGGGGCCCGATGCCTGTCGCCCCGCCTGGGGGCCCGATGCCTGTCGCCCCGCCTGGGGGCCCGATGCCTGTCGCCCCTCCTGGGGGCCCGGCGCCCGCCGCTCCGCCTGGGGGCCCGATGCCTGTCGCCCCGCCTGGGGGCCCGATGCCTGTCGCCCCTCCTGGGGGCCCGGCGCCCGCTGCTCCGCCTGGGGGCCCGATGCCCGTTGCCCCTCCTGGGGCCCGACGCCTGTCGCCCAGCCTGGGGGCCCGACACCTGTCGCCCCGCCTGGGGGCCCGACGCCTGTCACCCTGCCTGGGGGCCCGATGCCTGTCGCCCCTCCTGGGGGCCCGGCGCCCGCCGCTCCGCCTGGTAATCCGATGTGCCTCTGCCCGGAGTCCTGCCCGATGTGCCTCTGCCCGGAGTCCTGCCCGATGTGCCTCTGCCCGGTGTGCCGCTGCCCGGAGTCCTGCCCGGTGTGCCAGTCTTTGATATCCCGCCAGTTACCAGACCCGGGCGGTGGAACATTTTGCCCAGCTAGGACTGTTTGGAGCGTCCTGAGGCCACTCCTTGAGGGGGGGGGGGGTACTGTCAGGAATGGACTGGCCAGCAATAGTGGGACTCAGCTGCCTTATGAGCTGCAGTACCAGGGATGACCAGCGGGTGCTCCCAGCAATCAGAGACTCAACCTTGCAGCCAGTCAAACACCTGGAACTAATTATACTGGTGTATATACATGGTGACACTGTACTGCTAGGGTGACAGTATGTAAAAAAATAAATAAATAAAAATAAAAAATAATATAAAAAAATAAAAATATAAAAAAAAATGTTTAAAAATTATAATTTTTGTTATAAACTAATTTGGATTTTTTTTTTTTACTAAAAAGATAACGGATTAAAATTTTGGGAAAGATTTATGATGAAATATTATTTATTTGCAAAATTTTATTTAAAAAAAAAAACACTTTTTTTAAAAAATATTTGGACATTTCATTTACATAGAAAAAAAAATAAAAATCCCAGCAGTGAATAAATACCACCAAAATAAAGCTTTATCTGTTTAAAAAAAATGGTAAAAAATTAATTTGGGTACAGCGTTGCATGACCACGTAATTGTCATTCAAAACGTGATAGCGCTGAAACCTGAAAATTGCCCTGGTCAGGAAGGGGGGTAAAAGTGTCCGGTCTTGAAGTGGTTAACTGAACAGTGGTGACCAATCAGTATTTTAAAGACATAGTAAAAAAAAAAAAAGTTTGCCATTCTCAAACAAATATCCCTCTGTCTTATTTATTTAGCATGTGCTGTAAAAATGAAAAGAGTGCATGTAGATTGCTGCTTTTTGTTGTCTCTAAGGCTTATAAATCTATATAGTTAACCCTACTGTGAGTGACAGAACACTGATATGCTGTGTTCTAGTATTGCAGCTGCATTTTTTGACTGTGGAGTAGGGAAGCAATATTGAAATTATTTTCACCATGATGTACCATTAATTTAAAAACCTTTACATTTCAATAGAAAACACATCTTCCAAAATGTGAATCAGTAAGAGAATTCAATTATACTAGCAGATCTGTTTGACCACCACTGAGATCTTTTGTCAGAAGTAAGCTATTATTATTGCTTATTTGTTTGTTGTCTTTCTGTCAAATATGTATTACTATCCAAGAGCAATAGCATAATAAGCTTAATTGGCCTATTAGAAAGCTGAAAAAAGTGCAAGAAAAAACGTCTTAATTAAAAATGAATGAATCTGTCCAGGTTTGATTCACATTGGGTATTGGCAAATCCATCTTGAGGTAAAAAAAAAAAATAATATAACAGCTGAGATCACTGAAGTCCATAGGAGGCAAATCATGTTGGGAAGTTCTGGCTATTTTTAAAAAATAATAAGAAAACTACTATTAAAAAAGACAAACAGCTGGGTGAGGGACATGTAATTTTATGAAAAAGTACCATTTTCTCACACACACACATATATATATATACCGTATATATATTACACACACACATATATATATATATATATATATATATATATATATATATATATATATATACATACTGTATATACTGGCAGTGTATATTTGGCTGTGGAATTGATGTTTTTTCTTTTACAAATATCTTCGCTTATGTACAGCAGCACCCCAATATAAATATTTAGTTTTAATATAATATTTTAAAAAGATAGATAACTTTAAAAAGGTGAAACTTTAAAAGCCTTTACAGGTTATCAGCGTGTAGTATTAATTATGAATAATGACCCTAGAAATATTGCTTTAACTCTGATGTTCAAGGCAATATCCCACATATGTGGTGCAATAACTGTTTACATACACATTTGGGACCTATGCATGCATTTGCAATTGAATGTGTGCACTGAGGAATGGGGTGCTTTTACCCACCTGAATATTGGACACTTTCACCCCCATCCTGACCAGGCCCTTTTTAAGTGTGCAGCCCTGTCACACTTTGAATGCCAGTTATTCAGCTATGCAACATTGTACCCAAATTAAATTTTTTTTTTAGACTTTATTTAGGTGGTGTTTACCACTGTGTTTTTTTGGTATATAAACAGAAAAAATACAGAACATTTTGAAATAAAACACATTTTTCTTTATTTCTATTATACAATTTTGCAAATAAATACTCTTTCTTCATAAATGTAGTACAAAATGTATTCTGATACACCTCTTTGGTAAAAATAACCAAAATCCATGTATATTACAGCCTTTCTCAACCTTTTGAACATAGAGGAACCGTTGAAATAACTTTCCAGTCTCAGGGAACTCCTGCTAAAAATTACTATATCTGCGACTCATGATACCTTTATGTGATGGCCAGTGGGAAGAATACCCCTGTCACTTGTGGCCATTGGGATATACAGATAGTTAAAAAGGTGAATGGTGTCAGTGGGAACTTATATGAGAGGCAAAAACTGCTCATTGCTCAAGGAACCCCTAGCAACCTCTAGAGGAACCCTGGTTGAGAAACTGGTATATTATTTATTCTGTGTTGAAGTTATTATAAAAAGTTATATATATTTGAAATATGAGCAGTCCTGATGCGCTGAGGGTCTATCTCCTTTCTTGAGACCCTAAAAGGCCAAGGCAGTACAAATTACCTCTTTTTGAAAAGTAGACAGTCCAATGGTATTTAGTATGAGGCATGGCAAGTTTTTTGAAGTTGTAATTTTATGTCACAGTTTTTTTGGAAAATGAATTATAGAATCCTTTTTTTTTTTTAACTGTCACCAGTGCAGTACAGCAGCAAAATATGACTGGCGTGGTACATTTTGTTTACATTCTGTAACCAGTGCAGTGCAGTGTTACCATATTGAGTACTACTCTGGGAAGGTGAACTGGATTTATTTTTTTTCTTACACTGTGATAGCTTGTTGTAGTGATGATCACTGTAACAGCTATAATTTTAACTGTCATGAATGGCTTTCATGACAGTTAAACCACCTGAAGCCCAAGCCTTTTCTGACACTTTTTGTTCACATAAAAAAAAAAAAATCTGTATTTTTTGTTAGTAAAGTACTTTGAACCCCCAAGCATTATATATTTTTTGAAAGCAGACATGCTAGTGAAGAAAATGGTGGGTGCTGAAATTTTGTATGTCACATAGTATTTGTGCAGCGATTGTTCAAACGCAAATGTTTTGAAAAAAAAATATACTTTTTTTACTTTGAACAAAAACACAATATATTGGCCAATTATTTGGTAAAATATAAAAGATAAAGATATGCGGAGTAAATAAGTACCAAACATTACATGATTTAAAACTGTGCATGCCTACATTTTTAATATCCATAGGCAACATTTTAAAAGTCTTTACAAGCTACCATTTTAGATTTACAGAGGAGGTCTAGTGCTAGAATTACTTCCCTTTGTCTTATGTTTGAGGCGATACCTCACATGCATGGTGCATCCGCTGTTTACATACAGTCACAGGGTCAACACTCGAGCAGGTGTGCGCACGCGGGGGACGATGGTGTCTTTTTTTTTTTTGTAATAGCAATCCTGCAGCTAATTAGCCACCAGGATTTCTTTTTCATGAAAGCCAATCTCTGGCTGAAAAAAATTATTCCAGGATGATGCCTGCAGCTGCAGGCATCATTCTGGTATACCCACTCAAAGTCCAGTGATGTACCAGTACGTTGCTGGTCCTTGTTTGGTGTTTATGCTATGTTGTTTTTTTTTATGCAGCCTGTGGTCTGAATAAAAAAAGAGAAGAAATCTCTGCCAGAAAAAGTGTGTGGTATGCCCACCATTAGAATATACCGCCCTGCATCCACCCACTTCTAATGGTGGGTACACATGAAATGTGCCAAAAAATAATATAAAATATATATACCGAAGCATAGGGGCCATCAACCCACTGGCCACCCCAGGCCCCCATGCTTCGGTATATATGCTCTTTTTTTTAACTGCGGATGAAAAATCTCATCCAGCAGGACTGCACACACCTACTTGTATATTCTGAGAGCAAGACCCTGTTGCTGTGAGAATAAACAAGTCGGGGCTGCAGCTGAATGAGATCCTCATTTTTCAAGCAGACTTTTTCCCCCTTTCTACGACAGGTATTTACAAGCCGTTGGGGGAAGCCCCAGCAATTAGGTCACACAGTGCCACATGCTCCAATTCCAAGATTGTACAAATGTCTAAATAGTGTCACGCTTGAATAAATTTGTCCACATATAAGTGGTACTCCATATGGAAAAAGGATGACACCAAGTCCCAAACTATCTTGCCACTGCTCCCCATGTAGTCTGGGCAACCGGGGGGCTCCATGTGACTATCTTTTCCCTCATAAATCCAAAACCTATATGTATAGCCTGTTGCCCTCTCACAGGTCTTATACATC